AGTCTGTTTGCACTTGCACAACGGTAGTAGAGCACAACAGCTCTAGGTCAAAGACTTTGTATGTATTTTTCAAAGCTTTAATTCCAATATTGATGAACTACTTTTCTTATAAGTAAAATAATTATCAAATATAAGAATAAAATATTGTCTTGGTAATATGCAATAACAAGGCAAACTTTACATAAAATATATACAATTATCATAAAAGATATCCTAGACTTGTAGAAGTTCAATATTATCATAAAAGATAAGATATCGTAAATTATTAGAAGTCCAACCTTATCGTGAAAAATATACCAAAAGACATCATAAATTTGTCAGAAGTCTAATATAAAGAAAGATAACTTTAATTTAACAAATCCTTATATTTTCCTTCTAAACAAATCTAAAAATAACTAGGATGGTGCCCGCAAAAGAAAAGACAAATAGAAAGCTTTGAAATTTCTTGACGACCAAGAAATCCCTTCCCACAGGTGCAAGTGAGGGGTAAACTCCGACTGTGTCTGAAATGTCGCTACCTCTGCTACTTGATGCTCCCAAGGCGAATGAATCGTTTTTCCACAGACTATCAGCTTTTTCCTAGAATTGGAACGGGTCCCTTTCTCCGTTGTGAGTGACTTCGTCGGCTCGAGGCCAGACTCCTTGTGTTGTACACATCTGGATCCCTATCTTATGCACTCTTATACATATGCACAGCTAGAGGAGAGATTAGAGTTGTTTCGACATTAGCTTTCTTTCCAAATTGATATGCTATTTATCTATCAGCGTTGCCACAACTTTTATCTCGAGTAGATCTTCGCGGCTTGCAAAGTGTGCTTGAATGGCTCCTTGAAGAGTTTGATCGGCGAGAATTCAACCAGCGAAGGATCTAAGTCTCAAAGCGAAGGCAGCACGGGTCTTGACTCTGAATCCATGAAAAGGACTCCAAAAGATTTCGTTCTTTTCTTATCCGAAAGCTCTAAAAAAAAAAATCGTTAGTATGTAAACCTTCTCAACTCTTTGATGGCGAAATGCAATGTGGCTACTTTCCTTGATTACTTGCTTAAAAACATTTTACCCAATATAATAGGGTTGACTTATCTAAATTATTTCATTTCCTCCAAAACTCTGAATCACCCCAGAAACTACTTATTCTATTTCTTATTCATTGAGTCGCGAATCAACTCACAAGCCACCTGGCCAATACCTAGGTCATTTTCTTTTCGAAAGCATCAAAATTAGGCTCATCCATCGGGATGTCCAACTTTTCTGCACAAACTTGGTCGTCTTCAATCTTTAACCGAAGGAGTTTTTTCCCGTCACTTCGTCGAGTAGGGAGATCAGAAGCTATTGGAGCGGATCCATCGGAAGAGACTAGTTCTTCAGAATAGGGTAAGGTGGATAACTCAATTGAGGG